TCCAGCACGTATATTCGAATCCTTATATTGTAAATTTGTTAAAGTAAGCTATTTAACTACTATAAAAAGTATAGTATAATAATAACCAAATAGGGTGCAAAAGGCACGTCAAATCCCATTAGCGTTGCTATATTTTCAAACAAATTTTCTCCAATATTCATAATTAGAACAAGTAAAAAAGAAGTAAGTTAGGTCGGATCGAACTTTGAATACCCTCCACCATATGAAACGAATTAAAAAATTTTCCAAAAAATTTAAAAATACCGAATATCGGAAGGTGCCGATATTGTGTACCTATAAAGACAATTCTCTTTCAGGGGATATAGTACTCACAAGGAACTCCTTGTGTTGAATTTCAGACAATTCCATGGAAAAGGGTGGCTAAAATCATCTAAATACCCAATATCGGCGGGTACCGTTATATGGGAACTATACCAAAACGTGGACGGATATATATCATTTTCAATACCAACCATTCTAGACACAATACAAATTGCTCTGATAAATATCGACGCTCTACGGTGTTATTGGAAAATGTTAGTTGTTGTAGCTGATGCATACCCCTTTTATAAATTCACCTTGGGTAGAACTAATGCAAGCCACACACGAAGCAACTTGTTGTACAACTTGGAGAGGTTGTATTCAAGATTGTATCGTTTGTGGCCCGGTTGTACAAAGTTATGTCTCGGTTGTACAAAAAATCAAAATTTTTTGATATTTTGCATGTTGTACCAACCGATTGTAATGTTTGTGGGCATGTCGCATACAATTTCATTTTGTGTTTATTTTTAAAGAGGCAACACCATTGTTTCGAACATCAAAACAACACGAAATCCAATCAAATGAGTGATTTCAATGAAAATATAAAAAAAAAAAAAAATAATAAAAATATATACATGAAACGGAATTTCAAAAATTAACAATAAATAAAGGCTAGTAAGTAAATTATAGAGCAGAAATTATTTCCGGTGTCATCTTAACTCAAATGAACTCTTTGTACGCGGAAGAAATGTATGCACCGATTGACTATTTTTACTACACTCTTTTTATTCATTTAAAATAATTCTTAAGTTCTATTATGATAATTTTTCTTAACCTAGTCTAGCATAAAGAATAAGAGAGAGAGAGAAATAGAGAGATACAAATCTACACATGCCTGTGCACCATGCCGCCATATATTCTAGGGGAGGTCATAAAACAGGCAAGCAAACATGCTGCACTTCCTTATCAGTATGAGTTAAGATTTCATCCAGTAATATAACTCAAACATACCACATGCAGCAATTGAATTATTTATTTCTAACTCAAAGGTCTCTTCACCACATTTTCTTATCTTATATAATATGGACTGTATTAAAAAGATCCCTGTTTAACAAATCCCTCTCATCTACACTAGTTAGCCCCGCTATTCTCTTTTATTATAAAAACATGTTCACTTATCCGTGAACATTCTTGGCAGGGGCAAAGATACGTATCAAATATAAAAATTATAAAAAGTTAAATAAATCTAAGGGAGCAGACATTTTAAGAGAAAATAAATTAAATTATGGCACCCAGGAAACTCCTCCATCTTTCTTGAACGTCCCACCTCCTTTGTCTGCCGGCTTTAATTTCCAGGCTGAATCCGTTTTATGCATCGTCCTCTTTCTGTTGCGAAAAATGTCATCGTTCTCTTGCAACGCCATCTTACAGTCCTTAGAAAGTTTATCGCCCCAGAGTTCATAATTTCTTGTCTCTCCAGCCTGCCTTTTTCTAGCTGCATGATTTCCACCAGGCATCTTCATGGCAACTTTCGCTTCCTTCAGCACCTTATTGCCCCAGCGATACAGACGGATATCCTTGTTCTTCTTCATCTCGATTGTAACAGCTTATCTTCGACCTCTGCTTCCAACGCCAAATATTGTTGTTCCAAAAACTGAATAACGTCACTTAACTTTTGTGTTTCTCTTGTTTCTTGTTTGCTGTTCGTACAGCCTTAATCCATTTCTGTCAAATTTCCTTAAAATAACCCTTGCGAAAAATATTTCGGTGTTTTCCAATTGTATATTGATGGATTTAAGGCCTTGAATGCTATTCTTTGTTGTGTCCAGCATCTGCTTCACGCTCTTCGTGGACTCACTATCCATTGTTGGCTAATCCAAAATGTCATCCACCATCTTATTGAATAGCAACCTCCGATTCTCGTATGTTAATTTCAACAACTGTAGCGCCTCCTCATAAGAGTTGTCCTGCGTCCTTAGATGTTGTTTGTTTTACCGCCGCCTTTAGCATATGCATTTTTTCCACGTTGGTGTAGTACGGTGCATCGTGCACTAGGCTCTTGAAAAGATCATGAAACGATTCCCATTCACTTAGATCACCACTGAATGTGGGAACTTCAATTTCCCTTTTATTGATGATGCTGTACGGCTGCTCCACCCTTTCTGCTATTTTTGACTGAGATTCTCTGATCGCTGCTAACATTTTTGATTTCTTCATTAACAGTCGTCTCCATTGTTCCTGAATTTCTGGATCGATTAGTATCTCCCTTTCCTCGGTCTTCACAATAGTTCCGATAAAATCAAATGCTGTCTCTATATCCTTTTCCGTCTCTAGGCTATCCATCAGTATCATGGTACATTCCACCTCTCGTATGATCCCTCTAGCCTCTAACTCGATCTTGGTCGGTGCCGAGCTCTCCAACGAATCGTCCTCCCGGGAGTATGGCCCCACAGCCACATCCCTTTTGTCTGACTCCCTTATGTTCAGATTTGAAGCCCTCTCATCGCTTTTGCTCGCCAACACCGCCGTTTCTTCCATATCTCGGATGATCGCTCTGGCCTCTAACTCGATCTTGGTCGATGCCGAGCTTTCCAACGAATCGTCCTCCCGGGAGTATGACCCCACAGTCACATCCCTTATGTCTGACGCCTTTTTGCCCAGATGTGAGGCCCCCTCATCGTGTTTGCTCGCCGTCACCGCCGTTTCTCTTGCCGCAATCTCCTTTTGACTCCGCATACTAGGGAAATTCCATTGAATGCTCCTTGCACCCAATTCTTCCCTTTCCTCTGTTTCGGGGCGTAGGTTTTGAGTCTCCATTCCTTTATCATCCTTATTGTCTGCCGCCATGTCGTTTGATACAAAGAAAATATTTTACCTTATTAAAAAAGAGAAAGAATCATCCAATTGAAAATCTATGGAAATTGTAATTAACGGATCAGATTTGAATATAGCTCCCATACATAGTGTCGTCCGATTTCATAAGTAGTGCACAATACATAAGTATTGTAGAACAATACAAATGCGTAATATCCGTCCGAATCAAATCAATTTAGGTACACGCAGCCAGGTTCAGTCTAGAAGTATATCTGGAAATAGGTTCAGATTTCGATGCTCCCATATATATTTTCGTCCGATTTAAATTTTATTGTGCGCCACATGTTTAATATGTCCGAGTGAATTCAACCCTGAAGAAAGTACTTCTAACTTGGAGAAAATCGGTATAGATAAATATGATTCATCCGATTTCATCCGATGTTTAAGTCCCTAACATTCGTAATCTTCACAAATGTAATTCAAAAACATTTCTGACAAATTTCATCGAGATCGGTTCAGATTTGAATATAGATTCCATATATATATATATATATATATATATATATATATATATATATATATATATATATATATATATATATATATATATATATATATATATATATATATATATATATATATATATATATATATATATATTTCTATGCGTGCTAAAAAACACCTCTATTTTAATGGGCTAATAAAATATTTATAACAAAGGGATTCTTAAAATATTTTTGTTAATCCTTAATCCCTATTATATCTATCAAATGTCATACTTGGGGAACCACAAGTACATTGATTGTCAATCTAACCTTTTTGAATTCAAAAAAAAATGATTGGAAGACGCGTACATTGCGAGCCGCGCATTAAAACTACTCGCCAGTTTTACATGAAATTGAAAGATAAAACTGTTCATATTTTTGAAAAAAAAATCAGAGATTTCATTCATTTTCCCGCTGTTTAACTGATTTTAAAAATGAGGAAAAATATTGAGTAAATGAAAAGAACTTGTGACATGCAAATTTGACATGAAGCGGGCGTAGCCTCAGGCCTGTATTTCTGTAGTTTCACGAAGCTGTTCTACCTCTTTATTGTACCATGAATACACCTTGGTTCTACCCATGGTAGAAAAATACAGGTAGATGCATCAACGCTAGGGAACATTGATATGTCAAAAAAATGTAAATGTCTTTTCAAATATAAGTATAATTTTTGTGTTTTATTGCACGACGTCATTCTGAGTTATTCTAATAAGCGTTTTCAACAATTTTTACAAATTTAAATAATTTTTCATTCAACATTTTCAATTCCAAAATTGGTTTGACAGTTTATTGTCTCAGCAGCTGTGTCGATGCTTATACCTATATTCTGCCATTGTTCTACCGTGGTATCATGGTAGAAGAATATAGGTAGACGCATCGACGCAGCTGCTGGGACAATGAACTGTCAAACCAATTTTGGAATTGAAAATGTTGAATGAAAAGTTATTTAAATTTGTAAAAATCGTTGAAAAACACGCATTAAAATAACCTCCACACGACGTTGTATTAGAAAACATATAAAAATCTACTTACATTTGAAAAGAAACTAAAATAATTTTGACATATCAATGCTCCCAAGCGTTGATGCATTTACTTGTATTTTTCTACCATGCGTGGTATTGACCATGGTAGAAGAATACAGGTAGATGCATAAACGCATGGGGACATTGACATGTCAACAATTTTAAAAGGTTTTGTCAAAAGTAAGTATATTGTTAGATAATTTCTTAATTTTTCATTCAAAATTTTTAATTTCAAAACTGGCTTGACAGTTTATTGTCCCAGCAGCTGCGTCGATGCGACTACCTGAATTCATAGTAAAATTATGAAGGTTAAGTAATTTCAAATAAGCATTCCCATCTCTGCAAGACTGGCTGCCGTAGTTCATTCCAATGAATCAGTCCATTGAACATTTCGTTCCTGTATACAACTGTATTGGAAAGATGTTACTTTTGAAACGCAGGTTTCCTTTGACACAAACGCCCTTAAAAAGATATTCAAGTGCTTCAACCATATATGCTCTTAGTTCAGCGTATGGAAAATGTGGTGTGTCAGTGATTCGAGTGTCTGGGCCCCAAACCAGAAAATGCCTCCGTAGTATTATTGGTAGTACAACGCTCAAGGAGCGGTTTGCACATCTTAAAGCTTTGTATCATCCGAAAACAAATGAGATGATTGATAAAGCCTTAGTCTTATGGTTCCCTGGACCATCCTCTTTTACCGGTGAAGATTGCTGTGAGTTTCAAGTTCATGGATCCCTTGCCGTAATATCAGCAATGTTCGATGCTTTAAGTCAAATACCTGGCCTTAGACCAGCAAAGCCTGGCGAGTTTACGAAAAGGGCTTTTTTTGGAAATAAACTGGATCTCACAGAAGTTGAGGGTTTAGCAGATTTGATACATGCCGAAACTGAAGCTCAAAGAAAACAGGCACGTAGAACAATTGTAACTGTATATATAAAAAGGAAAATTTAGATAAAATATTCTATATTCCGAATTAGGCTTTGCAGCAAAGCAATGGTTCTCTTTCCCGCCTATATGATAAGTGGCGAAAATGTTTAATACGTTGTGCTGCACATTTAGAAGCATACATAGATTTTGGAGAAGACGAAAATATCGAAGATGATGTTATTTTTCAACTATCAAAAGAACTGATAAACGTCCAGAAAGAAATTAACGCGCATTTGAATGACCAAAGGCAGGGTGAAATGCTCAGAGATGGAGTTCGCACTTGTATTATTGGAGCACCAAATGTGGGTAAGAGCAGTTTCCTAAATATTATGTTCCAGAGAGACTTGGCCATCGTGTCTCCCATAGCTGGAACCACGCGCGATCCTATTGAGTCAACGTTATCTTTTGGGGGGTATCCATTACGTATTGTTGACACTGCAGGCCTTAGAGCATTTACAAACGACATCATTGAGCAAAAAGGAATACAAAAAACTAAAAAGTGTTTAGAAGACGCCGATCTAGTTTTTTTAATAACTGATGCAGCGCATTTTAGAGAAAAGAGTTCACTCATTAGCAGCAACATCGATTCATATTGTAGTGAATATTTAAAGGAACTTGATTTGAATCATGAGGATATCCTCAAAAATAAGCGAGTGATACTGATTGTTAATAAAATAGATTTGATGTCAAGCGATGAAATTCAAGTGTTAACAAATTTGCCGACGCTTATTGGAATATCTTGTAAAGATAAATGCAACATGAAAAAGTTTATGGATAACCTGGAAAATATTCTTAGAGAACTGTGAGTCGAAATTATGAAGAAATAATTAAATACTTACCCTTTCTTTCTTATTTACAGTTGTGGGTCTCCATCGGCTGAAGCACCACGTCTAACACATGCCCGATATCGTGTTCATTTAGAGCGCTGTGTCGATCATATTAGGGAATATCTTGAAGAATATTCGCCAGATGTGTATCCAGATATGGCTATTTCCGCACTTAAACTAAGAAATGCCATTAAAGATATTGAACGAATAACTGGCCACGTTAGTACCGACGATATTTTAGATGTAGTATTCAAAGATTTCTGTATAGGAAAATAAATTACGTCAGCCTATTTAAACTTTTTTTTGGAAACTCTTCAATCCTGCAAACATGTGCACTATTCAAAGTGCACCCACTAAAACCTTTGATTTAAATTTCGTCTGTCCAAAACAAGAAACCCTTATATTTACGCATGTCACAGAGACGAATTTCTGTCGAAAGAATAATTAATTCCGTAATTAATTTCCGCAACAAACATTTTTTCGAAATGAAAACACATTTGATTTTGCTAGTGCAATTGTGTTTTTAAGAAAACTTGTAATTTTAATTACTTTTTAAACTCTGCAATAACAAAATTCTGTTTAAAAACAAGTACACACAAAATTTACATTATTTTTTACCTTTAAAAATCACAAATTTTAATTATTTCTCAATTGACGAAACCAATTACGCATATTATGAAATAATAATTAACGTTTTAATCATGTACGGGAAAATACAGAAATGTATTTATAAGTTAAAATTAAACTTGTTTCTTATGTGCACAGTCTCCGAATTTGGAATGCGTGACGGAATTTGGAACAAAACTTAATTTGACAAATTATATTGAAATCGGTTCAGATATAGATCCCATATAAATTTTCGGCCGATTTCATGCACCAAACACGCTATGTATCTCTAATTTTAGTAGAATGTGTAACGAAATGTAGAACGAATATAAATTTGTCAAATTATATTGAAATCGTTTCAGATTTGGATATAGCTAAAACTCATGGTAGAATAATACAGGTAACAGCAAGTGTACAACAATCGTAACAACAACCACATGCAAATTTGTTTTTGTACGTAATACAAGTGTCAGAGTGTCGACCTTTCATTCAGTTATCGCGGTTTTCAATTATTTATTCAAAATAAATGCTACCATGGTATGGAGCATGGTTGAAGAATACAGGTAGTCGCTTCGACACAGCTGCTGGGACAATAAACTGTCAAACCAATTTTTAAATTGAAAATGTTGAATGAAAATTTATTCAAATTCGTTAAAATTGTTGAAAAATGCATATCATAACATCCTCGGATTGGCGTCGCATTCTTGCAGTTTTTTCAAAGTTGTCCTACCTTCTCTTCATTGTACCATGGTATGGAGCATGGTTGACGAATACAGGTAGTCGCTTCGACACAGCTGCTGGAACAATAAACTGTCAAACCAATTTTTAAATTGAAAATGTTGAATGAAAATGTATTCAAATTCGTTAAACTTGTTGAAAAATGCATATCATAACATCCTCCGATTGGCGTCGTATAAGACAACATATAAAAATCTATTTATTTTTGAAACAAGGAAAACAAACAACCTGCTTAGATCAGTTCTTGCAGTCTCCACCTGATTCCCTACGAAAAAGGAAGAAACCGACTGAAATTACGTTAGATAACCCAATGAATGAAATTAGAATGAAGAAAATTCAAGAAACACCATCCAAAACTGCTTCGTCATCAATTTGTAATCAGAAGCGCGCAGTAGTAACTGAGTTAACACCGTCCAAAATCACTTCTACATCAAAATCTGCACCACTTTCAATACCTACGTCCGAACTAACTCTGTCTGTGTCAAAATGGTTTTTCTCTCCTCAAATCACGCCAAAGTCGCCAAATATAATGAGTACTCCTAATACTCCAAGTCCGCCCAATCTAAAAGTAATTTTGCCTAAACGTACAGTATTTGCTGCAAGGTTTGCTGCTTCAACGTCTGAGGATGATGTCATGTCATTTATAAAGAGCAAAATAAATGTTGATGCAAAAAAAAATTTAAAATTCAAATATGCGGAAAAACGAAGAAAGATTTTTTTAAAATTCTTTTTCCTGAGGATATTTTTGAAATAATAGTTAACCCATCCTTTTGGCAAAAACCGATATACACGAATATATTGATATTGTATATTTGCCAACATCTCAATCAAAAAAACTAAATATTGTACCTACTGTGGATAATTTTAATCTAGTTTATAAGAATGTTAGAGGTTTAAACACTAAACCATCATCCTTATTTAAAAACAGTTATATTCTGAATTATCAGGTTATCGCGTTTACCGAAACTTGGCTTTCAAACAATATCTACGACGCAAAAATTTTATGTTCCAAATTTCAAATTTTTAGACGTGATCGTTTAAAAAGTAGAGGCGGTGAAGTCCTTGTCGCCGTTTCTTCTCAAATACCTGCTGTCGAAATTTTCTTCTCTACACTGCTGGATATTGAAATAGTTGCTGTAAAGATTCGCCTTAATCATCTAACAATCTACATCACTTGTTCATATGGGATATATGAGTATGTTTGTAATGCGCAAGTAATGATAAATATATGAAGCATGTTTTGTTTTTCTTTGATTTTTTTCTTTATGCCTTTCAGCATGCAAAATCCGAAGATATATTGATTACTCTTGGAGACTTCAATCTTCCTAACTTAAAGTGGATTTAAAGTGAGGATAATAAAGAATATTTACCAGCTGAATTGAATGAAACTACAAAACAATTTATTGCTCCATTAATTAGTAGTGGTCTTTCACAAATTAATAAAATTAGCAACATATTTGGAAGAACCCTTGACCTTATATTTGTCAATAATCCTTCAGATATTTTACTCTCCAGTTGCAATCCCATAACCCTTCCTGAAGACAAGCATCACCCTACATTAAACATCCAAATCCCATTATCCACTCTTTCCGCAAACCATAAGAAATCATACCAAACAATTTAGCTTCTCAAAGACGAATTATATACGCCTAAATTCACATTTGAGTTCATTAGATTGGACTACGCTGTTTTCACTTAGTTCTTTAGATGAAATGTTAACCGTGTTTTATCATACCTTTGAATCATCTATATCACAAAATGTTCCAAAAACCGCAGCTTTTAAGAATGTTGGTTCTCCGTGGAATACACCACTGTTATCTAAATTGAAGAATAACAAGTAAAAAAGCAGTAAGTTCGGCCGGGCCGAACTTTGAATACCCTCCACCATTTAGAACAAAATTAGAAAATTTTCAAAAAAATAAAATCCACTAAAAATTCTTTTAAAATCTTTAAAATATCTAATATAGGAAGGTGCCGATATATGGGGGGATATACGATATTGTGGACCTATAAAGACAAATCAATATCTGCGTGTAAAGTACTTACAAGGAACTCCTTGTGTGGATTTTCAGATAATTCCATTGGAAAAAGTGGCTAAAATCATCAAAATACCGAATATCGGGGGTTCAGTTATATGGGGGATATATGATATCGTGGACCTATATAGACAATTCTTTTTGAGGGGGTAAAATGCCCACAAGGGACTCCTTTTGTGGAATTTCAGACAATTCCATTGAAAAATGTGGATAAAATAATCAAAATTCCAAATATCGGGGTTACCGTTATATGGGGGCTATACGATATCGTGGACCTATATAAACAATTCTCTGCCGAGGTATAAAGTACCCACAAGGAACTCCTTGTGTGGATTTTCAGACAATTCCGTTGAAAAATGTGGGTAAAATCATCAAAATACCGAATATCGGGGGTACCGTTATATGGGGGCTATACGATATTGTGGACCTATATAGATAATTCTCTGCCGAGGTATAAAGTACCCACAAGGAACTCCTTGTGTGGATTTTTAGACAATTCCGTTGAAAAATGTGGGTAAAATCATCAAAATACCGAATATCGGGGGGTACCGTTATATGGGGGCTATACGATATTGTGGACCTACATAGATAATTCTCTGCCGAGGTATAAAGTACCCACAAGGAACTCCTTGTGTGGATTTTCAGACAATTCCGTTGAAAAATGTGGGTAAAATCATCAAAATACCGAATATCGGGGGTACCGTTATATAGGGGCTATACGATATCGTGGACCGATATAGCCTATCTTCGAACTTGACCTGCCTGCAGATAAAAGAGAGATCTGTGCAAAATTTTAGCTTCCTATCTTTATCGTTTAGACTGTAGCGTGATTACAACAGACGGACGGACAGGGCTAAATCGTCTTAGAATTTTACGCTGATCAAGAATATATATACTTTGTTGGGTCTAAAATGATTATTTCGATGAGTTACAAACGGAATGACGAACTTAATATACCCTCCATACTTTTTTTGGTGGAGGGTATAAAAAGAATAAAATCTACGCAAAGTTTAAGAGAAGTGGTTCACATTTAGAGTTTAAAAACTATTCTGTCATAAGATCGCAATATATGGTCTTAAATAAGGAATTGTGTAAGGAATCCTATATTGTGCCCTTGTTTAAATCAGGTAATAGAATTGATGTCACAAATTACAGAGGTATTGCAAAGCTTAATACCATACCAAAACTTTCTAAAAAGTTAGTTACTGATATAATATCTTTTCAAGTATCGTCTATTATATCAAAATTTCAGCATGGTTTTAGAAAGCATCGCTCAACTGTTACAAACATTTTGGAACTTACTACTGTTGTAAATGAAGGATTTAGAATGAAATGCCAAATAGACTGTATTTATACTGATTTCAGTAAGGCATTCGATAAAGTAAACAATAAGTTGTTGTTATTTAAGTTGCATAGCATGGGTTTTAGTGCCTCATTATTAGATTGGATAAAATCTTATTTAACAGGAAGATCACAAAGGGTGAAATATGGCAACAAAATTTCGAATAAAATTAATGTAAGTTCTGTTGTACCACAGGAAGCCATTTTGGACCTGTTTACACTATTTATAAACGACTAACCTAACGTAATATGCCATTCTAAAGTCTTAATGTATGCGGATGACGTAAAAATATTTCTTCCATTTAATGCTGAATCGAATTAACAGCTTTTACAGGCTGATCTCAACAACTTTTACCAGTGGTGTATAGATAACCTTTTGGAACTAAACATTAAAAAATGCAAACATATATCATTTTTTAGAGTTAAGAAAATCGCGTCGAGTTACTATTTTAATAATTGTCTAATCGACTCTGTAACATGTATGAATGATCTTGGAATCTATTTGGATCATAGACTTTACTTTCGAGAGCATATTTATTTGACTATTAATATCGCATATAAAAGTTTGGGCTTTATAAAGAGATGGAGTAAAGAATTCTTGGATCCATTAGTTTGTAAACAACTTTACATTTCTTTGGTGCGCTGCATCTTAGAGTATAGGTCTGTAATATGGGATCCAGGATATGTCATTCATTCTAATTTATTAGAGTCCGTTCAAAAGCAATTTTTATTATTTTGTCTTCGTGGTCATAGTTGGACCCAACAAACATTGCCAAGTTATGAACATAGGTTAAACCTTATAAAGCTACCTTCATTGAAAAGCCGCCGTACTATGCTAAATGTAACTTTTTAATTAATGGTTATTCATGGGAAGATATTGTCAGATGTTATTCTAGATAGACTGCACATAAACGTAGCATATAGACCAACGCGAAACTAACAATAGCTTCATATAAATTATTATTCTACAAACTATGCCAATAATGATCCTTTACGTCGTCTTTTCCTGTATTTTAAGTTCGTAATGCATACTACAGCCTATAACAGAAAATTGTCGGTGCAGGCACACTTCTTCGTATAGCCCCAATATAGCGGTTGTTTCAAATTTGGTACTCGAAGTTCGAAATGGATACTAGCATGGTACAATAAGGAGGTAGAACAGCTTCGTAAAACTACAGAAATACAGCCCTGAGGTTATGCCCGCTTCCTGTCAATTTTGCATGCAACAAGTTATTTTCATTTTTTCAATATATTTCCCCATTTTTTAAAGTAGTTAAACAGCGGGAAAAATTAATGAAATGGCCAGATTTTCTTTCAAAAATATCATTTAGACAGCTCTATCATTCAATTCCATGGTAAAACTGGCGAATAGCTTTAATGCGCGTCTTCCAATCATTTGTTTTTGAAAAGTTTGTAATGGATACTACAGCCCAAAACAGAAAATGGGCCATGTAGGTCCACGGCTTCGTATAGCCCCCATATAACGGTACGGTTTGATGGTTTTAGCGAAATTATTTACCGAAATCGATTCAAATTTCGCCTTTGAAGTTCGTAATGGATATTACAGCATGTGACAGAAAATTGTCCGTGCAGGTCCACGTCTTCGTATTCGTATAGCTCCCATAAAATGGTACCCCCGATTTTAGCGACATTATTTGCCGGAATTATTTCAAATTTTGTATTTGAAGTACGTAATGGATACTACACCCTATGCCAGAAAATTGTCTGTGCACGCTTATGACAAAAGTTTCGTATGCAGGTCGACGTCGTCGTATAGACCCTACACGCCTACATTCGGTATTTTTAAGATGTTTACAGAATTTTTAATGGATTTTAATTTTTTGAAAAATGCCAAATTTGTACCAAATGGTGAAGGGAATTCAAAGTTCGGCCCGGCCAAACTTACAGCTTTTTTACTTGTTTTTAAACTATCGATGTCGCTTCTATGCCTTACCGCAACACCATTTTTGAATCGAAGCGACGGCGACTTAGACATAACGTCGACGACGACTATAGAAACGACAACCGTAATTGGGCCGAATAATTCTTTTCTTTCTTTTCAGCTTCCCTGGGCGGCTAGATGAGATGTGGGAAACAACAAATCCTTTCAATGGAATGGCAAGTGCTCCGAGATTATTTTGCCCTCCAATGGTGGAGAATGTTGTTGCCCGTATTTCACATGTGGGGCTTTTATTCAGTGTTGGCAATGGATTAATGGCATAATAATCCAGTTGTCCCACCATTTTTTATAATGGGTGTATCGAAAAAAGTACACCCCAACGAGCCTACACAAAAAAGGAAAGACAAAAAAAAATTAACAACCCCTCAATCAATTAACAACCCCCCCCCCCCCCCCCCCCCCCCCTTCTCATATTGAATTGAATCGTTTTTTGTGAACAAAATAAAGAATTATTTTTTCCATATAAAAGAAAGTTATGGTAGGTTCTACGCTGATAACTCAAGAATGGCTTGACGCATTTTAACAATTCATACAATTTCGGAATGGTATCGCGTGAAAATATGCCAATGAAAATCTTTTTAGCGTGATTTTTTTTTCAATTTGACATGCTATATTGAAGTGCACATATTTAATATATATATATATTGGATCTAATATTTTTTATGATGCTAAGTCCATTATTCTCAAAGTGCTTTGATTTATCAAGTGCTTTGATTTATCATGATATCCAGAAATATTTAAATTATCAGCAATATCTGAAATTGAATTTGAAAGAGTTGATTGTTTATCAAACAAATGAGTAATGCTTTTTTGGGGAGTAATGGAGTTTTCATTTTTTAATCTATCACATATATTTTCTGAATACTGTTTCTCATCTTCGTTTTTCATTCTATACTTTACTACATTGGATTCCTTGCACAGAAAAAAGTATGCAGCATCACAGACGATACCAGGATGTACTTGTGACATAGCAGCCAGCTGCGAACTTGCCAATGTCCTACAGTTATTTATGGTATTTATTGTGTCGTTATTATTGGGAGGGCATACGTCTTTGTGTTTATATTAATGTACTTATAATCATCAATTACACATTCAGAAATTTCTTTTGAACATTCAACTGAAAGTTTGTCAATAACTTGTTTGTCATATGGTATATCGGATCCCTCTATATGGACTTGGGATGTCAAAGCTGAGCGGTCACCGTCTATGATTTGTTCCTTCCTTTCAGATTGATTTTTGAACAGTTGTTCAACATTATTGTTAGGCACAGTTACGGCTTTTTTACACAATTTGAGATCCATATCTTTGCCTTTCATCAGTGGATTGACAGTTTCTGCGTTTTCGGAATTTATAGTTGATGAAATATTTTCATTTGCAAGTTTTTGCAGAGAATTTCGTGCGGATTTTCATGATTGAGCTGAATATTAGGGTAATTGTAAATGAACGTTAAATTTATTTATTAGAAAAATATCAAAAAGTAGTCAGTTGAGATCGTTTTGATGAAAATGATTGTAAATAGGTACTTATTCAATTTCAATTTACATATGAATACATTTCAAACTTGTAAGAACTGCCTACGGCTTCTTATATATCATTAGGTTGTGTAAAAAAAGCTGTTATGGGTTTTGAAATAACGTTGGGTTTGCGTAGAGTTAACGACGAGTTTAGGTTCTTATGGGTATTCGATTTGGGTTTGACGGAATTTACTTTAGGAACATCTAACTTGTTTAATTCTTTCTGCAATTCTTTGGCTAGATGATAATCTCTGTGTTCCGTCATGTCCTCACCTTTTATTTGGTCTTTGCAAATATTACAAAACTCTACGAAACTTTCGCTTGATGCACTTTCATTTATTGCTTTTTGTTCGGAAACTGTTAGAGTAGATGGTTTTAGGAATTTAGTTATATCTGTGCTCCACGATTGTTTGACATTAATTTTTTTAAATAACTTTTTTGCTTTTGTTTTTATGTTATTGGTTGGGGATTTAGCTGAGCTAATTTTCATTCGCAAATGTTCCCTATATTCATGACGTTGTTGTTGGCTTATTTCATGGGCAAAGTGGTGGTCGTTATGAGTTTGAATGGCTTCTGGATTGTTAAAGATGTTTGCACCACATTTATCACATTTAATGTATAACTCCAATTCCGTATTAAATGTGGGCAGAGCAAATTCGACATATTCAGATCGATAATCCTTTGATTTAAAATTGTCAGAAATGTCGTCAAGCTTTCTTTTCTTATTAGGTTGTTCAGAACTTGTTTTTGATTCATTTTGAATAGTTTTCAAATCTTGAATTAATTGCTCCAATTCACAATTATCATTGACTTGCTCCTTATCGGTAATGATTTGTGTGTGATTCATATTTTCAAGTGTATTATCGGAGAAACCTTGTTCCAAATTTATATTGTTTTTACAGTCAGAACTGTTATTATTGATATTAGTATTATTTACACTTTCAACTTTATTTATGTCTTTGCATACTTCATTTTTTACTGAAGACCACCTATACGCCACAGTATTATCCTCTACTGGCTTCGAAATTTCGGTAAATTGTAGTTTTGCGCTTCCCAAGTAATCGGATTTATTGGATCTAATATTTTTTATGATGCTAAGTCCACTATTCTCAAAGTGCTTTGATTTATCATGATATGCAGAAATATTTAAATTATCAGCAATATCTGAAATTGAATTTGAAAGAGTTGATTGTTTATCAAACAAATGAGTAATGCTTTTTTGGGGAGTAATGGAGTTTTCATTTTTTAATCTATCACATATATTTTCTGAATACTGTTTCTCATCTTCGTTTTTCATTCTATCCTTTACTACATTGGATTCCTTGCACAGAATAAAGTATGCAGCATCACAGACGATACCAGGATGTACTTGTGACATCGCAGCCAGCTGCGAACTTGCCAATGTCCTACAATTATTTATGGTCTTTATTGTGTCGTTATTATTGGGAGGGCATACGTCTTTGTGTTCTGGATTAATGTACTTATAATCATCAATTACACATTCCGACATTTCTTTTGAATATTCAACTGGAAGTTTGTCAATATCTTTTTTGTCATATGGTATATCGGATCCCTCTATATGGACTTGTGATGTCAAAGCTGAGCGGTCACCGTCTATGATTTGTTTCTTCCTTTCAGATTGATTTTTGAACAGTTTTTCAACAGTATTGTTAGGCTCAGTTACGGCTTTTTTACACACTTTGAGATCCATATCTTTGCTTTTCATCAGTGGATTGACAGTTTCTACGTTTTCGGAATTTATAGTTGATGAAATATTTTCATTTGCAAGTTTTTGCAGTTTAGCAGTCTGTTGTGCGAACATAGTTTGAATTGTTCCAGATTTTGAAGAAAGTGTTTCAAATTTCCCAGCAGATATACCTAAAAACTTTATCGGATTATTGATAGCACCATTGGAACCAGGCCGAAAAAATACTTTTGTATTTGCTTTTATTAATTCCATGCATGTTCCTGCGATAATGTCAGCTTCGTAGGATTTTAATGGAGCTGATCGGGAACTGGATATGTCTACATTGCTAATTTCTTGAACAAAGTTGAAAACCATATGTTTTGCGCAACGATTGTTTTGTACAATATCTTCTTTCAAACGCTCACTTATTTCATTAGCCAGTTCCATCAGCCAGTGATGCAAAGTCTTAACGCCTGTAATACAATTTCTTCCAGGAAATTTTTTACAACAGCCAATGCTTTTTGCGTAGAATCTTGGTGTTACTATTTCTAAATCAATTCCTCGGCAAATATTATATAACCATGTACTGGAAGAAAGAAATAAGTTGTAAGGTAAATAAGCCCAAATGAAAAAGAATTTAGCTTATGTTAGAATTAAAAAATTACTGTTAATTCTGTCGTTAATTGTTGCGTAATTCCCTAATAATTAACCACAGTTAGTGATAACAGAAATTTTTTGATTGTTTTTAACTATGGTAACTAACGACAATGGTCGATAGGTAAGCGATGAAAACATCGCACTACTTTACTCGGAATTGTAAGTTTGTTTCTGACGTGTTTAAATGTGTTCTTCGATTTGGAAAGGATGAACAAAACTTTAAGTTTTGTGTAAAAAATAAAAGTAAATACCAAGGACATAAGTAAATTGGCAGGAGGGTAGTAGTCTCGATTTCCTCAAACAACATGGAGTATCAAATGTCTCTGGTTTTATCCTCGACTATTATATGTGAATATGACGTTCAATTCTTTTGTGGGTGGAGCCCATGTTAATAGATACCTCAAATGCTGGAAAGGAGACTTCGCAGACATCCTTGCTGGGCTTCAGTAACTGGGTTCACTCGGCCCATTTTCCAGGCTTAGAACCGATGGAAACTCCTGGCGTATGTAGCAGTTTCTACATTCGTATTAAGATTACGTCCGAACCCAACGCTTTGGACGACTTACTTAGAATTCCGGATGGCATTTGCAACATGACATTTGATGGTGCCTGCTCAGCGGGAAGAGATCTGATACGACTTAATACTTTTCGCCCAGTCGCTCTCGGCTGAAAACAATGGTGTTATTAAATCTCAACCACGGTATTCACCGGAATTGTCATCTTCTACTTCCCTGTACTATTGATTGTGCACAGATGAAAGGAAAGCCTTTGCTATGATTGAGGAGATAAAACATCGAAAAGGGAATTCGCTAAGAATATTATATCTGAGGAAGAGTGGGGGATAAGTTTCTGTTTTTGACCGTCTGTGGACAGGATTTGAGATGTACACATATCAACAGTAGCAAATATTAACCACGAGAAGAAAAATTTAATTTGTAGAACCTATAATTCGGGATACATCAACTTCAGAAAAGGGTAACGTTTTCCAATTTTTAAGCTTTTAATTTTAGCCTTTCACCTATGGTCAGATCCCAACCCCGGCTTCCCTGAAATACTGAAAATATACAAGGCATGTGCGACATTTTAGAGGCACATAATTTGGAAACTATCGACTTCGCCAAAATTAATATCATTGTTTTCAGGACCCCATGGCATAAGCAACATAATTATACATTAAAACATATGCATTTTTTAAATACATACCCATTTTTATCATCGAATTTTCGCTGCAACTCTGCTTCAGTGAATGTTTGTAACTGACCAACATATCGAATGCCTAGTTGTTGGCATACATCTTCACCAAATTTTGCGCCAAGACCTTGTATTTTGGAAAGCGGCAGTGTAGAAAATAATTCATTGACATGCGTGAGGGGTAGGATTGTTTGTTTATTGGGCTTGTTCAGGCCACAAGCCAATTTTGCTAAAACTTTATTTAGTGAAATTCCAGCTGAACATTCGTATCCCGTTTCTTTAAATACAGCTGACCGAATTTCGCTTGCAATGGAAGCGGCAACTAATAGCCGTATATTACTTCTTCGTACCGTTGGTATATCTTCTTCAGAAAAATTTTTGTACATTTTTTCATGTGGCTGGGGATATAAAAAGTCGTTGGTAACAGTTGTGACAAAATTGCCTATGGATGGGAAACCAACGGCATATGTATTTAATAATTCCTGTGGTTTCAATATAAAAGTCCCCTAAAATAATAAATAGTGAAAACTTATAGAGGTCAATTTTAATTTGCATATATTTACATCGTTCATGGCCGCAAAGCGTTTGTTTACAACATCTGTTATATCAAGGTATGCTTCGTCTACAGATGCTCTTTGAAGCACAGTTGTGAAACGTTGTAATACGATCGCAACATCCTTGCCAGCATCGCGATATTTTGTCAAATCCGCCTTCTCCCGAACACTGGGAACAGAAATTAGTTCAATTTCGGGACATTGTACTTTGGCTTCTTCACCCCTCATGTGACGTGTAACACCTTTTGCACGGGCTGCATAATTTACTGCTATTATACTGAAACAATACAATTGATAACTTAAGTAAAAACTCATGGGTAGGAGGACTCACCCGCCTCCTTTCCACGCATTATATTGAACAACAGCCATGGGCTTACCCTTTAAAGAAGGGTTTAATTTTTCTGCAAAAATAGAATTAAATCTTTACTATATGACGGAATATTTGTTTAAAATAAATCCACCTTCCACTTGACAATAAAAACAATCCATATCAACCAAGAGGACTATACGGTCGTACTTCTTCGACATTGGCAAACATTTCTTAGACGTAACATTATTTGTGGACATTACGAAAAATTAATTCAATTTATAACATTCAGATATTCTCGAATTCTTGTTAATTTTAAGGCGCCAAACCAGGAAGCGATACCACAGAGATGGCGAACAATCGATGGCATTATTGATAGTACCGATACCATGTTAGAAATATCAGGTAGCAACCATGGTACAAAAAAATAAGATTTTAATTTTTTATTTGATTTTTTTTTTAATAATAAAAAATGTTCAGAAAATATTCAAATTCGGTTGTTTTTAAAATGCTTATTGCATTATTGTATGCATCGACAAAATCTACAGTTTTTTGATAGTAATGTTGACATTACAAGCTAAATAGGTAGACCCACAATACAATAAAAAGGTAAGGTCGAGCTAACAGCGGATTAAATTTTTTTGTTTTTCAAGTGTGCCCGACTTCTGCCCATTTTGTATTTACTGTTTTGAAAAATTAAGACAAAATATTTTTAAAATCAATGATGATATTATAGCATGTTCACACGATAAATTGAATGACGTTGTTTGCTCTCAGAATCACGTACACGAAATAACCCGTTCATACGGCACGATTCGTAATTCATAATAAAATAATTCCTTTTTTCAAAAATTTTGTTTGTTTAATTTAAATGGGAATTTATACGAAAATACAATAAATTCACACTAATATGAATAGAAGAATTATTGTTTTCCTTCCAAAATTTATTATATCATTAATTTTACAATTTTCATTCATGTTTTCAACTTTTTGTGTAAATGTTGACATTTTGGACATATGTTAGTATTTTTCTATTTTCAAATTCTGCTGGAGAGACACTTATTAAACTTTTTTTCTGCCTACACAAACATTTTGAAAATATTGCATCTTTTGTTTCCAGTTTTCTGTGGAAATTTCAACTCGTGGACAAAATTCGCACCTCGGATGAGAGAGAAAACAAAATGTACTTTCGTTTGAATGTACATACGCCATTCAACATTGTAGTTTTCATTCATAATTTTCAGTCTTCCCAAAAAATTTTAAAATTTCATTAAATTTTCCTATTTTTAATTTTTAAATGTCACAATTTATTTTTTCGATAAATGCTCTCATTTGTTAGGGATGGGACATATTTTTTTGTTGTTCTGAGAGTGATTTGATTTGAACAACGTACAAATATGAGTGTTCGCTCAGGAAATTTTGTGTGAAGAATTAGATAGTTTTTTCATAGCTAAGGGCCAAAAACGAATAGAGAGCGAATCAAGTGCAGTGGAAACGCCACATTAACCAGATTTACCATCGAATTGGAAGATTGAACACTTAGGATCATATTTGTGAGGTAACATCCAGACTTTTCAGTCATTTTTTGCGCTATTTGACTCATTTTAAAAATAAACAAATAATATTAAATAAATGAAAACAAATTGTTGCATATAATTTTGAATAATTCTGACAGGAAGCGGGCATAGCCTCAGGGCTGTATTTCTCTAGTTTTACAAAGCTGTTCTTCCTCCTTATTGTACCATGGGTAGACCTCAATACTTGCAATCTTTTCAAAGTTAGCCTACCTTGTATTCATTGTACCATGGGTACATTTAAATCATACATTTGATTGGATTTCGTATTGTTTTGATGTGCGAAACAATGGTGTTGCCTCTTCAAAAATAAACGCAAAATGAAATTGTATGCGACATGCCCACAAATGTTAAAATCGGTTGGTACAACATGTCAAATATCAAAAAATTTTTGTAAGCCACACACAATACAACTGGTTGTACTTGGCAGAAGAATACAGGTAGATGCATCAACGCTTGGAAGCATTGATATGTCAAAAAAACTTAAATGGGTTTTTCAAATATAAGTAGATTTTTATATACTTTCTTATACTACGTCATTCGGAGGCTATTATAATTCGCGTTTTTCAACAATTTTTACAAATTCAAATAATTTTTCATTCAACATTTTCAATTCCAAAATTAGTTTGACAGTTCATTGTCCAAGCAGCTGTGTCGACGAGTCTACCTATATTCTTCTACCATGTGGTTGTACAACTTGGAGAGGTTGTACTCATGGTACAATGATATCAAGGTAGGGCTATGATACCATATGATTTTAATTTTTTTTTTTTATTTTCTTGGCTTAATATGTCACTTTATTTGTCTATGTATGTGCTTTCTTTTCAATAACAAAAAAATTGTTCAGAAAATATTGGAATTCGGATGTTTTCAAAATGTTTATTTCAAGGTATGCTTCGACAAAATCTAGAGTATTTGTAGCGAAATAATCCTTAACAGATATATAGTACATGATTTTGATAAGAAGTGTTGACCTTTCATTCAGTTATCGCGGTTTTCAATTATTTATTCAAAATAAATGCAACAAGTTGTTTGATTTTTTTATTGTTTTGATACTAATTTTGACATTACAAGCCAAATAGGTAGACCTCTATACTTGCAATTTTTTCAAAGTTGACCTACCTTCTTTTCATTGTACCATGGTTGCACTCAAGATTATATTGTTTGTGGACCGGTTGTACGAAGTTGTGTCTCGGTTGTATAAAAAATCTAAATTTTTTGATATTTGACATGACCGATTGTAACGTTTGTGGGCATGTCGCATACAATTTCATTTTGTGTTTATTTTTGAAGAGGCAACACCATTGTTTTGCACATCAAAACAATACGAAATCCAATCAAAGGTGTGATTTTAATGTGTATGTAAAATGGAATTTCAATTTATAAAATATAATTTGAAACATTAATAATAAATAAAAGCTATTGAGTGAATTATAGAGCATGCATTTTTTCCGGTGTCATCTTAACTCAAACAAACTCTATGAAAAGTGAAGTTGTACAAAGAGGTTGTACACTAAGTTGTATCGTTTGTGACCGAAACACGCAATTTGAGTACTCTCCATGTTGTACAACCAGTTGTATAGTGTGTGGCTTGCATTACAGGCAACAGCAAGTCCCAGCTGATTTGATACTATAGTAATACCAAGGTGTATTTATAAGGCATCAACTACAACAACTAATATTTTACAATAACAACATTAGTTGTGTTCCAGTACTTTTTTAGTAGTAAAACTAGCAGAAGAGAGAACAGTTCGAAATGTCATTCTCATTTAGGTTTGCTCAAAAAATAAGGGAACGGAAAATTAGCAGAAATGCGATAAAAAAATTCGCTCTTCAACTTTTGTTGACATTAGACTACTTTCTCGCGCTGGTCGCTCAACTTTATTATCAACAACAACAAACCAAAACCTGCAAACACGCACACACTTACAATTTTCTTCGGTTCTTGTTTTTAATTTAAAACAAGTGTTTTACATCATCTTTAAATTAAAAAGATAATTTTAAAGAATTTAAAATGGGGGGAGTAGGGGAACCTCCTCCTCCGCCACCTCCTCCACCGGGGGAGCAAAACAAAAGAAAAGCCAGCAGTACTGCCAAAGAAACAAAAGCCTTTAAAAACAATTATGGATCCCCAGTTAAGACTGTTAACACTAATGCAAACGCACAACTACCTACTAACAATGAAAATGAAGATGAATACAACTAGAATTCTCTAAACAAAGAATCAATTTTGTATCCAACGTATCATCCTGGCCCTTTTTTTGTTCTAGTTTCTTCAGAAACTCCAATAAGCACAAGGAGGAAAAATTGCGAATTGCACCTTTATGCCAAATTCCAAAAAATTAATATTACGGAACTGTATGTGCCACTAGTACGTCTCTGCTTGAACTGTGGACGTCTAGGACACATAGCTATTCGTTGCAGGTCAATGAAAAAATGTTTAAGTTGCGGTAAAACTATGATTTGTCCCAATAACTGTCCAAAGGAACAAAAATGTCAAGATTGTCGCTCAAGTACTACATGCAAAGATATATGCAGCTCCCCGCGTTGCATCCTATGCAGCAGTATTGATCATTTCGCTACAGATTCCAATAAATGCCCAAAATGGAAATCCGAAAAAAATATAAGGAGTATCATGGCCCTCTCCAATCTGTCAAGAAATGAAGTTGTTCATGAGTACCCTGAAACACAAAATCGTTTCCAAATTCTCTCAGAAGAAAAATACAATAATGCATTCCCCCCTCTAATAAAAAACAGTGCACCAAAAAGAAGTGTTTATGAAGAAATAAACAAAATAGTTACAAAAACAAAATATAGCCAAGTTGCTTCACCCAGAATTCAAATACGTCATGCCATTGCCGATCCAATCCAAATATCGCCTTCCAAGCCCACCTTCAGCCAAGATAATTTCTCTAAAGTTACAGAATTAGAAAAAACTCTTAATCTTTTTGCAAAAGAAATGTCAAAGATACTCACATCTCTTAATAGCACAGAAGGCTTAAATGTATTAAAAAGTTTCCAGCAGTCACTGCTTCCATTTGCAACAAACAGTTTATTAACAGGAACCAAAATCACAGTCCCCACAGACGACTCACATTCTGCAATTTTTAATAAATAAATAAATTAATATGAATCTACTACAATACAACGTACAAAGTTTAACAAAAAACAAAAACTTCCTTGATTTCCACCTTAAAAAGCTAAATATAGACATATGTTTTTTAAGTGAAATATTTAATATCGATGAAAACAAAAATTTATCAACTTTTCAAGATTATAAAATAATATCCAAAAAAAAGAAGTGATAACTACGGCGGAGTAGCAATACTCTTTAAAAACAATATCCAATATAAAAAGATTCCTTTTGAAACTCCTCTCGACATACTAATTTGTCAAACTACCAACCTAAATAACAATTTAACATTAGTGTCTGTATACTTTCCACATTCTGTCAAATGTGCTACAATTAAAAATGAACTAGTGAAATTAATATCCTTGGTAGAAAAACGCCCAAATACTCTCATATGCAGAGACTTTAATGCCAGACATTCTGCTTATGGAGATATATATGTCTCACAACGTGGAAAGACTATAAAAGAAATCTTTGATGCTACGAATTTTCGATGCTTAAACGATGGAGGATATACTTTTAAAAGAAATATTATGGATTTGAATGGTTCTGTTTTGGATCTTTCATTTTCCAATTCCAACCTTCAAATACAATAGAAAATTTTCAATGCTATGATTGGAGGAAGTCATCACTACCCAATAACACTAACTTTCAACAGTATCAAAAATAAAGGGCAAAAATTTTAGCAAAAAAACAATTATTACGAAACCTGGGGAAACTGTCTCTTAATGACAACTTCGATGAAATTCAATCCAAAATAACAGCGGAAATTAAAAATTCTACCTACACCAAAAAACACCAAAAATTTGGTGGGACCCATATGTAGAGAAACAATACCGTCTTCAATTAGCAGCTCAAAAGACTTACGATCTGCATAATAATGAGATCAATGCTAGAAATTTAATAAAAATGATCCAAAAATTTAAAAACGCCGTACAATATGCCAAAAAGCACTTCTTCAAGGAAAAAATACAAAACTTAAACAAAGAACCCAGTTCAAAATCACTTTTTCAGTTTGTTCGTGGCTGCAAAAATTTTCTATCATCTCAAAGCAAAAGCAAATGGTCTTCCGACAACAACAAGCGGTTTTTATCTCACCTCAGTGAACAAGTCTCTGACAATCTTCCAATTAGGTTTGCCTTATCTTCTGAAACAAATCGTACAGATCTAATAATCGATGAATTTCTCCTAGTCCTTAAAAATAAAAAGAAGCCCTCCGCTGCTGGTTTGGATGGTATTTCTTATAATATGATAAATCATTTATCAGACTCTGCGAAAGCTTCCTTTTTTAAAGCAATAAACCAGTTATGGAAAACATGTAAAATAAGAGAAGACTGGAGAAAAATCAAAATTGTACCAATACCAAAGAAAGGAAAAAATCTGGATGTTTTTACTAACTATAGACCAATAGCTCTCATCTCAGTTCCTCTAAAAATAATTAATCTAATAATTAAAGAACGTTTGCAAAAATTTATTGATGATAATAATATACTGCCCCACACAACTTACGCATATAGAAAACACATGTCCTCGTCTATGTGTATCAACAACATTCTGCACACTATTAATTATCACAAAAATATGGGTGAAATAGTAATTATTCTTTCTTTGGATGTTGAAAAAGCCTATGATTGCGTCAAAATAGAAATACTCCACAAAATTCTGCAGGAGATCGAATGCTCACCCGAAGTTTCAGATTGGATAATCAACTTTCTAAGTCGTCGATGATTCACTCGAAATATACAATGGACTACCCCAAGGCAGTTGTTTAAGTCCTTTTCTTTTCAACATATACACTATGGACTTACACGGAATTTCCAACATCAACACTTATCTTTTTCAATTTGCGGATGACTTTATTTTGTTATCTGCTCACAAAGACTTTGATTCGGCAAATTTAAATCTACAACAAAAAGCCATCGAGTTTCACAACTTACTCTCACGACTTAATCTAAAATACAATGCTGAGAAAACAGCCGTTATGTACGTAGCCAAAGGCCCAAAAAAAGTTCCATACATCAGACTACAAGGCACACAAATCACTCCAGTTAACAGCATAAAATTTCTGGGAAGGCTCATTAAAAACAGTCTATCTCCGAAAGAGCATTATGACGAAGTCATTTCCTCCTGCACAACGTCAATTAACGCACTAAAAATGATCAACAACAACAAACACGGCCTGCTCCCCAATATTTCAATCAATCTAGCAAAATCACTAGTTTTCTCTAAAACTGAATATTGCATTTCATCAATGGCCCATATGCCTGTATATCTAAATAAGAAACTCACCACCTTTCAAAATCAATTATTAAGAAGCAATCTTGGCCTAACACCATCTACTCCTACACACACAATTTATGCTTTAGCACTTATGTTGCCACCAGAGCAACGAAGTCAATACTTAACTGCAAAAGAATTAATAAAATTTAAATGTCACAATCTACAACTGTACAACAGTATAACCAGAAACTCCACAAACAAAACTTGGGACTAACAAGCTTGGGACTAATTTAAACCAAGTTTAAACATGTTTTTGATGAAATTGTGGTCAACAAAGCCGAATATCCCAGGAAAAATATCACTTTTTTTTATGAATTTATTCAATTCCTCCAAAAATGCACAACCCAATGAATACTTTAGAGCAATTTTGCAAGAAAAACTTCAAAATCTAATAAACACAGGTCACTCCATTTGGGCAACAGACGCCTCTGTTTCTATAAATGAGACCGGATGTGCAGTGTGCAATATCACCAAGGACCAAAATTTTCTATTTAAAATATCAAGAAAAATGTCATCCCTGATGGGTGAATTACATGCAATAAACAAAGCGATTGATATAATGATCGAAGACAAAGTCAATAAGGCAACCATACTAACTGACAGCAAGAATGCGTGTCAAATTCTCAAAAACAATTCGGTACAAAATTACCTAGCCAACGATATTATCAAAAAGGTCAACAATAGCAAAATATCTCTACTCACCTTTATTTGGACTCCCTCACATATTGGTATTCCTGCTAATGAACGGGCAGACTCCTTTGCAAAATGCGCAGCCCAAGTCGGGGCATCCATAACCACTAAGCTGGCCATAAAGGATGGCTATTCATTAGTTTGTCAACACCTATGGAGAGAATGGAACGAAAATTACAAAAATATCATAACTACAAAAGGCACATACTTCTCCCAGTTTTTTCCTGAACCGCCAACTCGTCACTGGTTTGCCGGCACCAACCTCACTCCTGGTAACATAAAACTCATTAATCGACTTTTCACAGGTCACACCTATGGCAAAAATTACCTGTTTTTAATAAAAGCTGAAAATTCCAACATATGCGAAATCTGCAATATGCCAAACACCGACAATCATCAAATCTTTGTATGTCCTAAATACAACAGTGAGCGGTTAAATTACAATTTTTTCACAATTTTCTCGGACTTACCTGCGATTCTCAAAACCTTCTCCAGCGAACACTTTAATGAATTGTGCAAATTCATTAAGAAAAACAACATACAGCTATAATACGCACAAACCACTAGAAGAAAATATCAATAAATGGAACTAACAATCGATAACAGAAAACTTAGCAACTGGTACATGAATACTTCGGGTATCGGGTACCAACTACTTCTTGACGAAGAAATCAACTATCGAGTCTAAAAAAAAAAAACAAAAAAAAATGCGATAAAATGTCAAAATTCAAAATTCCAAAAGTAAACAGCCTAAATCGGACTGGTGAAACCTTACTGAAAAGAGCGCCAACATTTAAAAAATGAGTATTGAAGACGATAAGTTAAAATTAATAATTAATAATCTGATTCCTCATTTAGCCAGTCCTCTTCACTGCTGGAATCATCCAAAAGTGAATACATCAGTTGCTCCATATTTTCTCTTTTTGTTTTTTGCACGACAAATATTAGTTTTTCCTTTACTTTTCAAGTTGATCATTTTCTTTATTGAAATGTGCCAATTAAATGTCAAATTTACAATATGCACATTTCTGCTCGGCCAAATTCATGTAGCTAAAACAAGCAGAAATGTGCACCACTCAGCGCCATTTTTTTCTCGAGAGAGCTGCAAGTTTTGCTAGTTTTTGGAGTACGGGAACGCGTTGTAACAAAATTAGTGCTAATTAGTACTAATTTGCAGGTTCTGGAACACAACTATTATGTTTATAGAAACTATAAAGACATTATGACAATTGGTTGGGATATGAAAATAAAATCGAATTATAACAAAACTTTTTCTTAAAACATGCATATTCTTTAGATTTTTTTTTTTGCACCATAGCCGCTGTTATTAATGTTGTTCTTATACGTATGCCTTAAAATCTCATTAGGAGGAAAATAAAAGTTTTTTTATCTGCCCCGCAATGCGACAATGCAAACATATTTCTTACCTAATTATAGGAAAAATCTTTACTTTACACTTTACAAAACTCCAACGTCGATCCAACCATGGTACAATAAAAAGGTAAGGTAGAGCTACCAGCTGATTACAATTTTTTCTAAGTGTGCCCGACTTCTGTCAATGTTGTGCTTGAGCTCACTGCAAATTTATTTTGTACGTAATTGTCAATTGCATTTGTGTTGTGTATTGCATTTTTTGTTTTGGACCCTATGACACAAATTATGGCCTACTGGACAATTTAACTTTAATACCAATCTTTGAATCTTTTTAAAATCCATGGTACAATGAAATAAACCTCATTTGAAATTAGTATTCCCAGCTCTGCATTTTCTGTAATTTTCTTTGCCAAATTTCAATGCATAAAAAAAACAGTTAACATCTTTGATTTTGCGTGTATACAATGGATTTATGAATATAGATGTTGACAATGAGATGTTGTCAAATTTATAAATTTTAAAAAATCGTAAACATATCATTACATGACTTTGCGTTCTTAGGGTGCAAGTACATAAGAAGATTGAAGTCATGGCTATGCATATTTTGTAACAATTCATAAAGGGATTACAGAACCGCCCTAAAATCATGCCGTCGTTTTGCGTTATAATTTGACATTAATAGGCCTAGCCATGACTTCAACCTTTTTTTGCACTTGCTTTTTTTGTACTTTGTACTTGCACCCTTAGTTCTACCATGGTAAAATCTTTTGAGATTGATAAGTTCTGTTCGGGGATTAGATGACCTTTATACTTGTAGAATGGTAAAATGTGGTGCAAACGTGAAAGTTTATGTCTGGTTCGGAAATACCAGATATAGAAAGGAATTGCCAATTAGTTTACCGCAACTGAATTAAGCAAATTCCTTGTTGAAACACAGGATTAGTTACATCAAAATATCATGACTTTTAAAGAAAACTGAAATACTAAATAAAATATTGATTCAGTTACATTAGTTGTGTTCCAGTACTTTTTTAGTAGTAAAACTAGCAGAAGAGAGAACAGTTCGAAATGTCATTCTCAATTAGGTGTGCTCAAAAAATAAGGAAACGGAAAATTAGCAGAAATGCGATAAAATGTCAAAATTCAAAATTCCAAGAGTAAACAGTCCAAATCGGACTGGTGAAACCCTACTGAAACGGACGCCAAAATTTAAAAAATTAGTATTGAAGACGATACGTTAAAATTAATAATCTATAATAATAATTAATAATCTGATTCATCATTCAGCCAGTCCTCTTCACTACTGGAATCATCCAAAAGTGCTCCATATTTCCCTTCTTTTTTTTGTTTTTTTTTTTTTTCACTACAAATATTAGTTTTTCCTTTAGTTTTTAAGTTGATCATTTCTTTATTTTTGTTATGACGCGGGAACATTGAAATGTATCAATACATTTTTCAACCTAGTTAGCCCTGCCAATTAAATATCAAATTCACAATTTGCACATTTCTGCTCGGCCAAATTCATGTAGCTAAAACAAGCAGAAATGTGCACCACTCAGCGCCATTTTTTTCTCGAGAGAGCTGCAAGTTTTGCTAGTTTTCGCAGTACGGGAACGCGTTGTAGCAGAGTTTGTACTAATTAGTACTAATTTGTAGGTTCTGGAACACAACTATTATGTATTTGGTATGTCCAAAGAATACATAAAACTCTTTCTGGCTTTAAGTGGCTGGCTTCTTCGGAAATGAACATTGTTCCTCTACGAAGAAGCCAACCGATGACATAAGCCAGCAAATATGCGCTTTATGTATTCCCACCCTTAAGCCAGTCAAAAGAGCGTTTTATGTACTCTCACCTTAAGTGTGCCCGACTTTTGCTAAATTTGTTTATGTATTTATTGTTTAGAAAAATAAAAAATTTTGTTGTTGCAAAATCGTCAAGCAAAATCCCATTATTGTTGTTTTTATAAAAACAACGTTTGTTTATGAGTGGAGAACGATGGTAATGTTTACCAGGGGGTAAGGCAGGGAATACCTAGGTTTCGGAAAGAGCCACCAATCCTCATCAGTTCCCTTGTTTCTTGTCTGGGATATTCTCCCCAGAAGTTATTTAAAAAATAACTTCTATGACAAAAAACATTTTTTACCCAAGTGACGAGATCGTAAGCTCAATAGAAGAGGAACAAAAGAATTACATAAAACTAAAATTCTTTTGGAAAATCTTCTAAATCTTACAACCGCACTTATAAACATTTACATCTTTCTCCACTTGTTATGCTTTCGTTCAACCTGAACGAAGTAACATAACCATGTAAGTTTGTTTTGTCTGTTACAACAAAAACCCCTTCGTCGACCGTGCCTGTGACTATTAATAGAACAGTGTTTGGCTTGCTTGTTTGGGATACCATAGTATTTTGTTGTTGCAAAATCGTCAGGCAAAATCCCATTATTGTCGTAAGATTTAGAAGATTTTCCAAAAGAATTTTAGTTTTATGTAATTCTTTTGTTCCTCTTCTATTGAGCTTACGATTTCGTCACTTGGGTAAAAAATGTTTTTTGTCATAGAAGATGTTTTTTAAATAACTTCTGGGGAGAATATCCCAGACAAGAAACAAGGGAACTGATGAGGATTGGTGGCTCTTTCCGAAACCTAGGTATTCCCTGCCTTACCCCCTGGTAAACATTACCATCGTTCTCCACTCATAAACAAACGTTGTTTTTATAAAAACAACAATAATGGGATTTTGCCTGACGATTTTGCAACAACAAAATACTATGGTATCCCAAACAAGCAAGCCAAACACTGTTCTATTAATAGACACAGGCACGGTCGACGAAGGGGTTTTTGTTGTAACAGACAAAACAAACTTACATGGTTATGTTACTTCGTTCAGGTTGAACGAAAGCATAACAAGTGGAGAAAGATGTAAATGTTTATAAGTGCGGTTGTAAGATTTAGAAGATTTTCCAAAAGAATTTTAGTTTTATGTAATTCTTTTGTTCCTCTTCTATTGAGCTTACGATCTCGTCACTTGGGTAAAAAATGTTTTTTGTCATAGAAGTTATTTTTTAAATAACTTCTGGGGAGAATATCCCAGACAAGAAACAAGGGAACTGATGAGGATTGGTGGCTCTTTCCGAAACCTAGGTATTCCCTGCCTTATCCCCTGGTAAACATTACCATCGTTCTCCACTCATAAACAAGCGTTGTTTTTATAACACCAACAATAATGGGATTTTGCCTGACGATTTTGCAACAACAAAATACTATGGTATCCCATACAAGCAAGCCAAACACTGTTCTAAAAATAAAAAAATATTTTTAAAAATATTGATCGGAACTATTAAAGGGCCGTTAAAGATATTACCCAATTTTGTCATGGAATTGAAAGACTAAACAGCTTGGATCACATTTTTGAATGAAAATCCAGGCATTTTATTCATTTTTCGGTCAATTTTACTCATTTTAAAAATGGGAAAAATACAAAATAAATGGAAACAAGTTGTATAAAAATTGTAGTGGTGCTTGGTGGTGCTTCCTTTCTATACCCTCCAACATACTATGGAGGGTATATTAACTTTGTCATTCCGTTTGTAACACCTCGAAATTCTCATGTCAGACCCAACAAAGTATATATATTCTTGATCAGTGTACAATTCTAAGTCGATTTAGACATGTCCGTCTGTCTGTCTGTTGTAATCACACTATCTTTCGAACAAATTGAGATAGAATGTTAAAATTTTGCACACGTGTTTATTTTTCCAGTAGGCAGGTTAAGTTCGTAAATGGGCCATGTAGGTCCACGTTTTCATATAGCCCCCATGTACGTTCACATATTCGTAACTTTAGTATTTGAAGTTCGAAATAGATACTACAGCCTGTGACAGAAAATTATCTGTGCAGGTCCACGTCTTCGTGTAGCCCCCATACAACGGTACCTTCCGATATTCGGTATTTTGATGCTTTTAGCGACATTATTTACCGGAATTATTTTATATTTGGCATTTGATGTTCGTAATGGATACTACAGTCTATGACAGAAAATTATCTGTGCAGGTCCACGTCTTCGTGTAGCCCCCATACAACGGTACCTTCCGATATTCGGTATTTTGATGCTTTTAGCGACATTATTCACCGGAATTATTTTAAATTTGGCATTTGAAGTTCGTAATGGATACTACAGCCTATGACAGAACATTGTCTATGCAGGTCCACGTCTTCTTATAGCCCCCATATAACGGTACCTCCCAAAATTTAGATAATTTTAGCGTTATTATTTAACGGAATTGTTTCAAATTCCGTATTTAGAGTTCGTAATGGAAA